GTACTTTATTATACTTTAGATAGTAATTTACTTTGTAGCACATATAAGCTTTTCCTTAATAAAATGATGGGCAAGATTGCCAAAAAATAAAAAAATAAAAAAATAAATTACATCTAATAAATAAATATATATATATAATAATTATGCATTACTAACCTGATGCATTTCTTCTTTAACTACCCATAATAATTTATAATGCTTAGCAAGTTCTTTAGCTTTGAGACCATCGGGCTTATATATAATCTCAATCCATTTTTGTTGTATAATCTTTACAGCTCTGATCTTTTTTGCTGTTTCTCGAATATGTTTAACTCTATTGATAAGATTCTCTATTCATAATTCATATTGATAAATAGCTAACCATGTGTAAATATCACTTTCAACTTCTAGTTTTTGTTTAAGCTCCATATACTCTTTAAAACATATATCACAATATCTATTTCTAGTATAATTTGTACACCAATATTCCTCTATCTTATAATTGTGATATAATTCATATCCTACTCTTTTATCAACATAAACAAACTGATTACAGCTATAACATATAGCAATATTCACTTTAACTGCTATACGATAACTGAATCCTTCTGTAGATTCCATCTTTCTAGCAATAAGATATCACTTATTGTAATCAGTCAATTTATTGTTATTTCTATAATTCACTAATTGATTCCAGATTCGGTTCTTCCAATTAGATAGTGTTTCCCTATCACGAATTACTGGAAATTGGCAGCTATCCCTCCACTCGATATTATTTAAAACTAGACAATTATCTGTATAGACTATATTTAATGATTAAGTAATTTAACGTATTATAGTGTTTTTAGAGATTATGTGATTTATACTGTATTTAGAGATTTAGACCTATTAGATTTGGTATAATATACTATAGAATATCAGGATTCATTTTTTGTACATTCGAAATAACTCATATTAGATACTCCATATATACAGGTTAAAAACAGACCCAATATAGGTAAAAACTTTATTAATTTTTTTCTATAAAAAATATATATATTTGTAAATATATAACATATACGCTTTTATTATGAATTAAGTAATGGTCTTCTGCTCTTAATCTACGTCTAGCACATGACAAATCTAAAAATAATCATCATAATTAATTTTTATTTACATTTAAGATCTAATATTATGTATGTATTTTCTTACTAATACATCCTCTTCTACGATCTGAAGGTTGTAGAGGGATTTGTATCTGCTCTGCCTTCGGTTTAAAATGATATATCTGGCAGTTCAACTTGCAAGCATCTTCAAGTTTTGATGCCACATTGGTCTAGAAACAACATTACCTTTTGCATTTTTCTCTACACTGATTTTAAGGTCATTATATACAGAAGAGAAGTCCCGCAAATGATGAAAGAAGAAGCTATACACAAAATACACGATACTATGATGAATTCCCTTTGTGACAGGGAAATTACATAGAGAAAAAGGCGTGAAGAAAACACTATAACTTGCTGGGATGAAGTAGAACAATTATTTTTAACTAGGGAAAGCAGAGTTCACCTCCGTCAAAATCACCAAGAGCAATGAGACAACAAAGACTATTTGGCTCGTCATTTTCATCCTAATGATAGTCACTTATGGTATTATAATTTATGGCTATCATCAGGAAAACCTCAAATAGTCTAGGTGCAAATGGACTCTATCTTAACATACTTAATTTTTCATACAGATTTCCATAATATTTTTGAAAAAATTGATTAATACAGTTCGACAAAAGGACAAGGTCATTCAGTAATTTATTAACACATTTCAAATGCTTTATATTGTGGTTACTCGTGGTATTCGAACTTACATAGGGGAGGAGGTTATTCAACGTGAACATACCAAAATGTTTAATAAAATTTTTCTAAAAACTTTTACTTCGATGAGATGGATAAGCTAATATATAAAAATAATAATAATCAATAGCCTTAGTCATTTTATTTATAGCATCTAAATTCTCAATTAAATTTAGGTGGAACAAAGTCTGGTCGCTTTTATCTACAACATACTCTGGATTTATTATATAATGAAACCCAACTAATCCTTTGATGGTTTTTAAATCACGTACTGAGATAAGCATATGATTTTTTTCTTTTTTGTAATATGTGGAGTTGTTAGTACGGACGATTCCTCATTACTATGAAGATACAAAGCATGTTTTAGTTTTTGCCATCTCAATTGGAGATGTTGCCTTACTTCTTTTCTTTTAATTTTTCTCTCAAACTCAAGCCATTTTCCTAATGCAATCCACACATGCTTTTCTGATTTAGAAAGGTTAGACTCGCAAGTATCTTTATTATACAAATTATTAAGATTAATAATATCTTTATTTACTATTACAAGAAAGTCAGTAGGTATTTCAAACAACTCAGAGGCATTATTATTATTATTTATTTTTGCTTCACAGATAAGAGTCTCGAGCAACAGGTCCATTGTAGAGATTTCATACAGGGCCTTGATATTTTTGGTCAATACGCGGTCAGAAGGACAGAGTGAGACATTTATCCACTCCTTTTAATATAATATATTTTATCCTTGATGCACAGTCCACAGGTTGCTTGCTAGATACGATGCTAATAATGTTACTGAAGGATTGTTAAATTATAAAGAAATGAATAAAAAAATAAGCAGTATATAGTTTATTTTTGCGGACTGAACAAAATACCCTTATCTAAGTACTGAGCCACCTAATGGTAATTATAAGCCTATTGAGTCTCACAACATACGTTAGTCAGAGGCCCTAGTTGCTATTGCAACAATTTTTTGCATGACTAAGTATACACGTACAAATAACTTAGATAATTGTTCTATCAACACAAAGACTAAACACTAGTGGTATATAATAAGTTAAAAGTATATACCCAGTTCAGGTCAAAAAGAACATTATTTATAGACAATGGTGTGGGCATATTATGGGCTACTGGCAAAGTTGAACTTGGTTCCTTCTCCAACCTACGTTTTTTATTATAGCGACTATAGCGTGACATTCTTTTTACTGGTATTTATAGAAGCAGAAAAAATGTTCTTAATATTTACTCACAGATAGGCAAAACAATACTATTCGACAAGCTATTAGGGTTTAGAATCCCAGAGCCGATATCCTACTTAAGAAGAATGATAATTATTTTGCAGAATAAAATAGAGAAGGAACTAGTGTTTTGTTATTTCCGATAAGCGTTTAATTAAATTTGAGATTATGGGGTAAGTATATATAAAAAATTAATTATATATTCCTATGTACAACAAAAATTTTGGGACAATTCCAAAATAAGATACCTATGTACATATGTACTCCTAAAGGAATTGAAGTATAGAATTCTAGTTTAAGGATAAATTGTGTATTTTTTTTAGTATAAGACTGCAGAATATAATCAGAAAAAGGATATGACCTACAAAAATGTATGAGGCATACATATGAGGTAAGATAATGCTATGTATCGCTATTGCTTATTATTATCAGCCTAAATAAGATGTATTCTACCTATCGCTATGCATTTAAAAATAACACTATACTTAAATTAAATAAAGTTATAAGTGATAAGTATAGTTTCTTTGTTAAATAAAATAACCTTTGTCCTGTGTGAAAAGTTACTAGAAAAAGAATAAAAATTAAGAGCTTTATACAGAAATAGTTAGATTGATTAGATTAGTGTTAGCGTTAGTAATCAATGACATATTATAGTAAAATTAGAAATAACTTGATTCAATTTTTCCTACTGCATAACGATAATAGCTATCCTTTTTTAGACAAAGTTATATTTGTTTTCGAGGGGCAGTTTATTTAACAAGCTATAACGATAAATATTTGTACATCCGCAATAATTTTTTCAAATTTTCGATGTTCTATGTATTTGATATTAGAAGTTTGATTAACATATGATTTATACACAAAAATTCGATCATGATTTTTTAGACTGAATATTACTGAATATTCGAAACTCAATAAACACAATAAACATTTGATATTTCACCTACGTATTCCAACAGCACTTCAACAGCACTTCAGATGCGAAGCATTTTCCTTTCAGGAGACAGTAGCTTAACAGTAGTTGATGACTTTTAATATGTAAGAATCATTGTACGTAAAAAAAAAAATTTATTAACATTACTGTATAAGATATAATTAAAGTAAACGGTATTATAAGTCATATGAAATTAAGTATATGGTTGTGTTACTTTTCTGCAGAATCATTTCTCACAGTAAATTTTTGATTTATAATGAATATTATAAATTTCTAGAAAAGCTTTTCCTGTTATATACGATTCTACGATAAGAAAAAGCGCGAATGGAACTTAAAAAAGCTATAAGGGTAATGAGTATAATATTTTTTATCAGTAGTTTTGTTAAAATTCATATGTTACAGGGAGTTTGAATTCTCAGATCGGTGAGATCATTGACTTTTTCACTTTATAGTACCGATCGTTGAATCTAAGGGGGTTTAATTTACCCAAAAAACATCAAAAAAAGATCAGTATTTAGAACTTATAACTGAATGGAGTTTCTTTATTCTGCTTTATTTTGTTATTTACACATAAGTTACTAATCATGTAATTTTTTAGCGGGTTTTTAGATCTAGCAAATGAATGGTATAAAATAAGTGATTTTTTGTTCTTTGTTGGGTGGGTTATAATATTTTTTGCTTGTATATATATTTTTTTACTTGCCTGTAATTTATTTTTAAAGTAATGTATTTGACATTTAATACGGTCTAAAAATGATTTTTTACTTACTATAATTTTTTGTATTTAGAAACAAAAAATGAGCAGTGCTAACGATACTACTACTCCCACAACTAATGATATCACTCCCACAACTAATGACACCACTTCTACGACTAATGACACCACTACTACTACCATCAGCACCACCTATAATACTACCTCTCCCATGACTAATAACCCAACCCTATCTAAACCAAACCCTGTGGATATTACTCTAACTAGTAAGAAACCTTGTTATCTTTTGGTTTTGCCAACTTTACCAAAGTGATATTTTTCAGAATTAAGTTTTTTATTTCATTAACATTAGAAAAGCATGAAGAGATACGAAATGATAGATCAAGGTCAAGTGATACTGTAACTTTGAGAACAAGATCTAATGATAGTTCATTAGTTATTAATAAACTCCAAAAATTTCTAAACAAAAAATAAATATACACAAAGTGCGAGTCTTCAACTTATAATTTTTTATTCGCATTATTTGTATATTGTCATCTCAGCAATATTAATTTTTATAAATAAAGGGAGGGTCCGCTAGGCTCCCAATTTTTTATTTTAACATAATTATGTATGCAAAATTGAACTAGCTTTATGACTCAAAGAGTCACTCCTAAAGGGTCTGATATAGAAACAAAAATGAATTTCTCCTTTACGTATAAAAGTGCTTATGTGCTATATATCAGCAAAGCAGGTACAGCCAAATTTTATATATTTTTATCTGCTATTAAATAGCACTACTTCGTGGCAAGAATTTAACATTAGTATATATATTATCACATTCACATCGCTTATATATTCCCTCTGCTACTTTTTTGCAGGTTTTGCAATATAGGTGTAAATGATGATTGCATTCATCACAAACTTTATACCTGTGCTTCCACCCTTTAAAGATATACTACTTTTCAATATAATTTCGACTTCTTTTATTTGTATTATTCCATATTTGTATATTAATAGAAAATTAATATACACGAGATTATTTTTTTTTATATGTATGTACAAACCTGTAATTAGTGTACTTGCATTTATGCCCTATCTTGTTATAAGCCTCATAAGGCAGGAAAATTTTATGAG